ACGTTTCAGAGGTCATACTGCCTCCGTCATCAGGGCGATGAGTATGAAGATTTCTGTCTTCTGGGTTGTTGCGCTGTGTAGTCTGGTCGATGTTAACCAACGTTTCAGAGGTCATACTGCCTCCGTCATCAGGGCGATGTCCTGAAGACGGAGGCAGTATGACCTCTGATACGTTGGTGGACATCTACCATACTACACGGCGGAACAACCCTGAAGACAGCAATCTTATGCTTACACATATTTATGGTTATGTGTAGTTTCGTACCCCCTATTCGTGAGGCGAAATTTTGTAGTGTTCTGTCATGTATTTTTGACAAATTAAGCCGTGCCGTGAGTGAAAAAAGTTGCGATATATATATCACAAAGCATTTATTATAGAATTATTTACAGTTCAAACATACATGTTTACGTTATTAAAAATGACACAGACTCATACACACATGGAATAATAATTAAACTTTAAGTATAAAAATGTTATACAAAATAATTAATATTCCTAGTAGAAAGCGATTATTACAAAACGTTAGACAACACTTACACTCATTTGGATGTGAAACCTAATGAGTGGTATTTTTATAGCCACACTGAAAACATGGGTGGAAATCAAACTTTTTCTCAAGTTTCTTTGTTGTCATCTGAAGCTAATTTAATTCTTTCAATTTTTATCTTAATTTTGTATGTACACTTATAAAGATTTAAAGCGTTCTAAAACAACGAGAAGAATTTTAAGACGAAGATTTGCGTCGGTTCGAAAATAGTGGATGTTTGTGGAACAGAGGTTACATATACCACTGTAATCATTCTCACTCGCAAAGTGTGGTCGCGCGATATGTAGTCCCTAGGCCTTCGCAGTTTTGTCTTCAGCCAAACGAAGCATCTTACTATTTCAAAACATTGTTCCATTTTAAAGGGCCAGTTAGACGTCTATAACTCTTTTAAGTATCACAATATAATAAACGTGTCACATATTACTTGTGTATATTTGCTCCATATTAAATTAGAAAAATAAAATGAGCTTTTAAGATCAATATGAATAGTATTTTATCAGAGCTCAAATAGTTTTCATCTTAGAAGTCCTGTATCACTAATAAGTCGGACGGAATTATAAATTATAATTGAAGACACTTTAGCAATATAGTTGATTTCGGTTATTGAAAGTCGCGGTTGAGTAGTCTGAGGTTCGATTGTCGGCCAGGAAGCTGTCGATCCCAGCTGAAGGATTTTTTTTTACCTAAATTCTGAAACGCCCAAAATAGACCGTGTTTTAAGCGAAATATAGAAAAATTTGATATAATGTTTTGCTTTGACACAGTATAAAACACTATGGTTTTTGTTACGAGTGCAACACAGATTTTGATTTAACATTTCATTTTATTTTATATCTTAATTGCGTCATGTTTGTGTTTTATTGATACAATATTTTTATTTTCCGTCTATACACAAACTTAAAATAATGTTGTTAAAAATTATTTAAAATTATAACATTCTCAGTAGACACTGCATCTTGTTACAAGATGCAGTGTCTACTGAGAATGTTATAATTTTAAATAATTTTAAACAACATTATTTTAAGTTTGTGTATAGACGGAAAATAAAAATATTGTATTTCATTTTATGTACAGTAACAACGTGGACTTAACTGGAGCTCTTATTTTAGATACAATATGCACGATGCTCGATTAAAGGTTATATTTCGGGCTCAAATACCACATTCCTTATGTAAGATTTTCATCTTAGGTTCGACAAGAAGTGTGATGTTACGTGGCATGCTTGTTGATTATTCTTTGTTTAAGTTTTGTTTCACGTTCCTTGTTCACGTTTTTGTGAAAGTGTTTTAGGCGGAAGGTAATGTCTTCTTGTTCAATTTTATCAATCTAATCACAATAAAAATATTATTATTAAATATTAAAATATTACAATTAACATTTAAATATTTAAAAAAAATATACATATTTAAATGTTAATTGTAATATTTTAATATTTTAATATTTAATAATAATATTTTTATTGTGATTAGACTGATAAAATTGAACAAGTATATATTCAACACAATATGACGCAACATTATCATCTCAGGTAATGTCTTATTTCTTTAGCTACAATATCAACAATGTTTTAAGTTCTTTATGGGTGGCTAACTATCTAGAATATCCGATTATTTCTTTGTTTAACGCCAACATTTAAGGGCTAGAATCGCGTCACTTTTTGAGGGGAAGGAGGGGCGTCGTACCTTTCGTAAGTGTTTTCTGGTGATATGGTTCGCCTCTCACCGAAACCCCTTTGATTACTGGGTTTTGTTGCCGATGTACTCGGGCCAGAATCCAACGGTGTTTGGGGCTGTTCAGAGTAAAAGTTTGAGTTGACCTGTCCTTCGGGAGGACGGACGAGAGGATGTGCTGTCACCGTATCGTACAAGGCCTGAGTGGACCGGTAATTGATATCCTGGATGCTTGTCGAGCTTGTGTATGCCAGAGATGGAAGAGCGCTTACTAGATGGTCCCGGACGATCGCTGTCATCATCAGATATGTTCTGGGGATGAATACCGTCACCAGGATAGCTGTTGCTGTGGCTGCAAGTCCTCCTGTTATCGCCGTGTCTTGCCAACTTCTTGGTACCAGCATGTAAATAATGCTCCAGCTGATAAATATGACCAGGCATAGAACTGAAGCTACAGTGAAGAATATCCCTTCTTGATAATTTCTTTTGGAACGGGCAATGAAGGGACTTGTGCACACCAGCAGTATAAGCAAGAACATGTCATAACTCAGTAGTATAAGGAAAAGGTGACCCTCATATATGGAAGAACATTGACGAGACCCAAGGAGTGTTGAGTTGATGGCCCAGAACTGAACACTTAGAGCCAGTTGTACCCCAGCTATGAAAAAGCAAAGAATTGTCTGTAAATATCCATTGACGTGACTCATAAACCCACCGTCTTGATCGCAAGAAGCTAACATAAAGCTCCGGGAAAGCATGATTGAGAAGATCAAAGCGTAGCTGACGCTGGTACCAAATATTCGTAAACCACAAATCATACTTCTGTGATACGGTTCATCAGACGTGAAGCTAAAAGGAAGAGTGGAACAATATGTGCAGTCAATGGCCATCAGTAATAAGAAAGAGAAACTTGGGTTACCCTCAAGCATGTCACCTTTGCAGATCCGAACAAGGATGAAGACAGAAATTGCTAATGAACAGGCGATGCCAACAGCTGAGATGGAGGCGACTGCAGCCACCCAAGCCTCTTGTCTCCAGGCGATTGGTAGTGAAAATATCCTGTCTTTTATTGACGGAACAGCGTTCTTATTTTCGTCTTTTGAACCTTGTTCGTCTTGTCCCACGACACAAACATTTCTGCAGGAAGAATCATTATAACCAATTTTACATTTTTTCATTCCATCGCTTTCAAAATTGAACAGTGTCACGTTAATGTGATCTGATACCAACGTGAGCAGAGCTGTTTTATTGTAAAATACCTGAAACTTTCCAATTTCCTGCAAGTCGTATTTCGAATCGGTCTTAACACGTTCAATGGCGAAATAAGTTATGCCATTAGAAATTGTTGATAACAGGAGAGCTTCTATGTTGCTGGCAGGAACTTGATTCGAGTCAGATATGAACTGAGTCGAAAATTGATGAAATGGCGGTAAATTTTGGCACAAGCCTATGCTGCTGTTATTCATTGATGGTTTGCAATACCGAGTCTGCGCACTTATTAGTTTGCGGGTGATATTAAAAATGGGCGAAGTTATTTCCATAAACAGACGACTTCTGGTAATGCCCGGAGTTATGTTGAAGTTACCAGATCCAGTAATTTTCTTCATTGACGTCATGATCTCCTCTATCTCTTTCATGTTGGAAGCTCTTGGTGCCACTATTAAAGAGTCTGCCGGAAGGTTGCCTGTTGAAAAGAAATTGCCTGCTCACAAAATTTTATAAGCAAAAGTTCACTTAAAACATAAACATGCTTTTGTGTTTATTCCCATATAAACCCCGAGCCATTTGTGCAGAATTTTATCAAGTTTCTGTACATGTCATGAAATTAAGATCCACTATACATATGTGATTTTTATACCACCAAAACAAATACTGATTAATATATAGCCCTTTCTGGTATATAAAGTGTATTCGAGGGAACTCTGCAAAGTTTGTTTGTCAGCTGTGTTATGGGATGTTTTTGAAATACTCGGAGTGTACGTGATCTTCAGGTGTCCAAGAAAAAGGTGCTGAGACTTTGAAATACTCGGGAGTGTACGTGATCGTCAGGTGTCCAAGAAAAAGGTGCTGAGAGAATATTTCAGTCTGAGGAAAATATAAGAGAATAATGCAGAAAAGTATATAAAGAGAAGAATTAGATTGATGGAGCATACAGAACTATGAGAGAAACAGAGAAGAGCCCAAGACAAGACGTTAGACATTTGTGATCACTGTTAATGATTCTTCAGATTTTCTAGAAGCGGGGTTTTTGACAAGTTGTATACAAACATCATTATAAACTACCCAACGAAGACTAGCACATAGCTAGATGACTAGTTATGGTTTGAAGACAACTTAAAAATCCTGAAGACAGTAAGCAAGAGGGACGTACCTAGGGATGTTAGGTCTCGTGGTACATCCAGCGGTATAAACACCCACTGCAACGCTGAAGTCACGTTGCCACGATCGGCAGACTGCATAATTTCTAGAATTTGATCATTCGAGCCAAAAACTACTGCAACATCTCCAATTTCCCATGGATGTGATGTCCGAAACACACTTGTCCAGGTCCTGAATAACAGACAAATCGGTATTAAAAACTTATTTATACGTAAATCTTTATAAGATTATTTCTCTTGAATCAGGATTTTGTATCGAACTGCTGATATTTTTTATGCTGCCTTTGTGTTTTAAAATTTAAAAGTAGTTTGTGGTGTCATCATGTTCGTGTGTTCGAGGAATAAATAGGGAATGAAATTTTGAACTGAATGCAACTGCTCAGGACCGGGCCAGTTTCCAGTAGCGAACAGAAAACACTATATTAGTGTTAGTGGTGTTGAAGCTTTGGGTTGTAATGCCACAGTTAGTTATTAATAAAGACAATAATAATATCTGATCCATGGAGAAGTTAATAATCGTTCAAGTGATCAAAAACTTTACCGCCTTTTATGAACCCAAACGTTCATTACCGTATTATAAATCTAAAGGATTCTACACACCGATGTTACTTTTAATTGAAGAGTCACCTCCTGAAACGTTGTGATCTTGTTTTGGAATTTTAAACGCTGGATGAAGTTCAGAAGAATAGACAGCAGTATTAGACGTTGATCCCCATTCTCAGCGAGATGAATGCTGTTCTTGTATTCAAACCCAGTTTTTTTTATACAGATTGGTTCAAAAATCATGACCCATTGAAATAAAACGCACGTGAATGTGTTTTTCCCCTTGTGATATTGCATATAATTCGATTTGTTTACTTCTCAATGTCTGCCCTTACAAATATCTTTACAAGTTGATACAGTTAAAAATATGCTTGCGGGAGAGAGAAACCAAAGAGGTTATATACGAGGGATGGCCACTATGTTCTGACTCTTACACAATCTTGTTTATTTTTTAAAATTATCCTCTCATCTCTGTCTATATCTCTTAAATTTTATTGTTTGTGTGTTTTTCGCAAAGATGATGTTTGCAGTAAATCGTATTATTGTCCGACACAAAAAACGTTCACTCCCATAAAATTTGATTAGTATTGATAATATTTTCTTCAGTCTAAAGAGTGTACGTACGAATTATTTGGGTCAGGAACAGCTGTTTGATGGCGGATACATATCCCCTCGGCACTCGCCGCTTTTTCGAAAGCTGAAATGATCTGAGTGGATGATGCGATTACCACAGCAACCTTAGTCATGTTCAGGGCCGACAAGAGGGTGGCTGTGATCTCGGAAAACGGTACTTGTTGCCGGTTTTTTTGGTCGGGACTCGTCGTGAACACTGGAATCTGCGAAGTGGTCACCAGTTCTTGCACGTGACTTAAAATGCTTGAGGTCGTCACCATACCTGTATATTATTGGTCATTAATTCAAAGGTTATTGAATGCAGAATCAAATAAAATTGGTATTAGCGGCTTCAGACATATTATATTATTCTCACTTAACTAAACGTAACTTAAAATAAATTTGAGGTGTTTATTTTATTTTTTTATTATTTATTATTGACTGCAAATGGGTTTATACCCGGTGGCAGTGTCCTACAATAAGATACAAAACAATGAGACAGAACAGAACAATGAGATACATCAACACAATGAGACAGAACAAAACAATAAACAAAAGGACACAACAAAAACAATAAGACACAACCAACAATGAGATACATCAACACAGAGACAGAACAAAACAACAACAAAAAATGACACAACAAAACCATTAAGACAAAAACAAACAATGAGATACATCAACACAGAGACAGAACAAAACAACAACAAAAAATGACACAACAAAACCATTAAGACAAAAACAAACAATGAGATACATCAACCCAAAGACAGAACAAAACAATAAAAAAAGGACACAACAAAAACAATAAGACGGGAACAATAATGATGATATTCTTATGGGTTTTGGCGCCTTGTCGATAGATACCAACGTTTTGGAGAAACGTACTGACTCCAACTTCGTGGCTCCAAAAACCAGAAAAACACCATTACTAAAATAAATATTTTACTGTCACTCTCATTAGCAGGTGGAGTGCTTATTTTACAGTGAATTTGCTTTTAAAATGATGTAGTGGGACCAAATCTTAACCGAATGTTCGGTATCTGAGAGGCGGATTCTATTATAGGTCCAGCGGCTGGTTGTTCTGACAATTCTTGTAGTTTACTTCTGATTACAAGCAAATCTGAAGATAAAACTTAAAAATAGTCCATACAATTTACAATTTATTATTCGTTATTACACGTGAATATTTAATAAATACTTGACACTGACCTAAAGGATAGGTTCTGTGGCACTCTATTTCTTCCAGTCCTTTCACCAACGCCTTCCGGGCCAGTGGAGGATCTGAGCAGGCGTCGTACAACCACAAACCTGAAACACATCAATGACATTCTTTGACGACTGTCAAACGTCATTGCAACAAAATCGATTGATATGATTTTGAGGTTCTGTGGGCGATGTGAGCTCAGATTATACTCCTTTTTCGTTCTTAGAACATGTAGTCTTGTAGATATTTTCACATATTTCGCAGGAACGTTGGTGAACAATCTACGGCATCACTAGCAAAAATCTAAATTCTGTCCGCGTGAGAACCTCGAATCTCAACTGTCTACACTGCCTGCTAAGTTTCTTCTCTGTTATACCACTGTATTGTACTGCAATCTTAAACTAATTACAGAAACATCTGCCAAGGACCTAGGATAGAACACACCTAAAGTAGAGTAGTGTAAAGTTGCCGATGTTTCGAAGGAACTTGCCTCGTTTTTCCTCAGGTTTGAAGCGACAGGAATGTAATGTCAGAGGGTTTGTGTGGGGATATAACAGAGAAACACTAGTTCTGTTTGATCCGGTTAAAAGTAACGGTTCCAAATTCTGACTTGTCAGCGCAATGTAAATGTCTGGAAATGGTCGCAAATACGATCAAGACCATAACCACTGTTGCTGCTAACCGGATTCCTCCGAGGTGAGAGGCAAATACGGTTTATGGGACGGTGCCCTCTTTGGATTAGGTTTGGTTAATATGTTTTGGGTTAGGTTGGGTTATGGTAGGTTAGGTTAGGTTAGGTTAGGTTAGGTTAGGTTCGGTTAGGTTAAGTTAGGTTACGTTGGGTTAGGTTACGTTGGGTTATGGTAGGTTAGGTTAGGTTGGGTTAAGTTAGGTAAGGTTGGGTTCGATGAATTTAGAATTCAACATTTGCAAAGAATGCATGTGGAAACTCTGTGTCTTGTCTTTGGCGATTTTCTCTCTGCTATTTTAGTGTCTTGAGGATAAGATGTTGAATTAATCAGAAACAAGACTTCATACGCATTCAATAAAGTGCATCTAAACGGAATGTGGAATGTGAGGACGGACGGAAGGTAAACATTCGTGGAAGGACAAATAAAAACGAAGAAGAATTTGTTAAGGTGACTTAAAGGAGTGAAATCAGTGGATAATGAAGACACATTTAGATAACGTTTCAGTTGATACTGACCTAGTGTGACCCCTGGTATCAAATTGTATTTGTTGACCTCTTTGACTACCCATACAGCTGACAACATCTGATGAATCCCTGTTGTAACCACTGTGGAACAATTGGGTCCTTTATGAATGTCGAACAGGCCTAAAATATTAAGAAATATGAATTACATTTATACTCTGTCGATTTCTTAAAATAACTTAGATTTTTATTAGGGAAATTCACGGTTTCAGTCTCGAATAGGAGACTAGGTAACGCTGTCACGTTAATCGAAGCCAAGACCGTCTCTAACCACTTCGTTACGTAAGTGATTATGATCATATTACTGTCTCATTCAACGTTGTATTAATGTCTGCAGTTGAAATAACTTCTTTAAATTATGTAAGACTCAAATCAATAGAGGTATAAAAAAACTACAGGTTCATCTCAGTTTTATTAAATTACGTACACGTTTCTGATAATATTTATTAGTGTGAATGTGATTGATTCAAACTCAGTTTCATGTACGATAATAAAATACAATTTTAAAAGTGCATCGAAGGCAGTGGAATTTCAAGTTTTCACGGCAGCGAGAATGAAGAAGTCTTCTGGGTCGCTGCTCCGTGTTATCTGGTAGAAATTTACCGATGTTTCAGAGGTGCTTGTAAGGTTCATCGTCCTGATGATGGAGGCAACAAGCACCTCTGAAACATCGGTAGACCTTTACGAGACAACACGGCGGAGCGACCCAGAAGACAGCCGACTTCAGTTTTAATTACATAAGGAAAGCATCGGTCGCCTTTGTAATTTGTACACGTGTGTACTATATTATTTTGGTACTCAATTATTAGCTTGGAAGAAAATTTAAATTACACACATGTAATAGCGGTGTAACTCCGTAGCTTATAGCAACTAGTACGCGTGTTTTGCCCACAAGATTGGTTTATAATCAGTTTTATTATGAAAGTTATCTGAACAAGAGGTTAAGGGTAGTATACTCACCTATAATAGTGGCATCACCCGGTATAATAAAGGACGAACTTGGAGATATACACGGGTCTTTATCAGCCCAGCAAGTGTCAGAAAAAATCCATACGCTCACCAGGACCATGAAGATGTTTCCAACCTCCATGAGTTTTGAACTGAAAAGATATTTGTTACTGATTAATGTTGCTCATATAATACGAGGCTGGTCTACAAAGTAAGTTTCCCTGGGGCCGTTTACAGAAACAAAACACAATTTCATGGAAATATTTATTGCAACAGATACAGCAAGTGTCCAGCTATTTTTCAACATATTCGCCACCAGAATTGAGACATTGGTCATACCGTGGGACCAACTTTTGAATACCTGGGTCGTAGAAGTCTGCCGCCTGGGATTGGAACCACTGTGTGACAACCATCTCCGCCTCTCTGTCATTCTCAAAACGCTGACGCTGACCGGACAGGAATTTCTTGAGGGGTAGGAAAAGATGGAAATCACTGGGAGCGAGATCCGGGCTGTAGGGTGAATGATTAAACACCTCCCAGCTAAACTCCTGCAGGAGACTTGCTGTCCGTCGAGCCGGGTGCGGCCTAGCGTTATCACTGACCGCACTTCACAGGCGGCGGGAGCTGGAATAAGAACCTCCATCTTCAACAGCTGCAACGATGCTACTGTAAGAACGCGGGAAGTACCGTTAGTGCATGCGCCATGCTACGTCATTGCTCTATCACGTACGCACAGCCGCTTCGCGCAATATAAGGTTTGCTAGCTGTGAGACGAGTGGGAAACTTACTTTGTGGACGCGCCTCGTAAGTTGTCCAGACACATGTAGTTGTGGTTGGCACTGTGAAATAAGAAGGAATGAGACAGTGAAAGAATAATATTGGGCTCTCGCTGTATCATGGAAGAACAGTTTGTTAAAATGCGAGCTAGACTTATCTGGCTGAAAAAAAAACTATCCAGATGTGGATTTTGGAAACGCTATAACGAATCTTAGATATCATTAAAAACAAATTTTTCGACCCGCCGAATAACTTTCAAGTAACACTTTTAAGCGTATCCATTGCAGTATTCGCCTTCAGGGAGCTTTCCGTTCTTGCAGAATAAATTTCCAAGAATTTATTAGTTAGAATTAATGTGACATTTCTAAACTACCCGGTGACCTGAATAAATCTCGAAGTTTCTCGTTGTGTTATATCTTCCATTCTGCACTTACTCAAGCCGTAATGGCTTCGAATATACTTGTGAGGGGTTTGTCACAGTGAGAGACGTTTCACGGCCGCACTAAAGGAACGGGTGAAATTATCATTATGTATCTTCGTTGGTCTGCAGCAATCAGTACTAATTAATTTTACTTTAGCTCGTGTATTTGTATTAATATTATTTTATTTTTGTGTTAAAATTTATTCATTTGTCCAGGTTGATTTCTATTTGTAATAAATTACACAAAATAAAGGAAAATGAACAATTAAGAACTGAACTTAACCTCAATTCCTCCACGAATCATGCAATGCTCACAGTTCCAGTAACTAGGTCGCTGAATGATTAGACTTTGTAGGTTTCAATCCCAGTCGCATTATTGGTGCTGAACAATGTCTTTGTAATGTAACCCATATGAAGTTCACATAACAAATTGCAATGACTCGTCAGGTATCATCATCACACAAAAATATTTGTTGTGATTATTTGTCATTTTTCCTAAAATTCTCGGAATAGAAGTGCACAATTTTTGAAAGATTTATCGCCGTATAATATTTCATGATCACTTACTGATGGTTCTAATGTTATAATAAATTATCGCGGCCGCCATATTGGTTTTGACACAAATTTAGAACGTACAGACACGTGGATGTCTCAAATGGTCTTGTGTTCATACCGGTTTTCTAGAAAGTTGGTTAACTGTTTCCTTTATTATTAATGTCCATATTTTATCGATTTCTACCTGCGCACTTCTAACTTGCTAGATGACGTAATGTCTAACGAGATAGCAAAAATGATAATGATCGGTAAGACAGGGCTTACGACAAAATACCCATGGTTTATTTCAAGGCATTGACCGTGAATTAGGCTTTAGAGCCTGAAGAAAACAACGACAACTTCAGAATCAGTGGATAAATAATTACTTATGTGTGTTAGATCTGTTAATATTGATCCCCTATTAAACATTAGATTTGTTGTGTCTGTAGTAAGTGAAGATAAAGGATGATTATGGATTCTTAAATAAACACTCACATATTTGGACGAAATGCTTCAGGCCTACTTAAAATTTAGCTAACCTCAGACCTGGATGAACCAGTAGGCCTAACAGATACGTTTTCTGTCCTCCTTACATTTCGTCTGATGACGAAAGCAGAATCAAGTTTTCAAAATGTTATTATATCGTAATGTTAAAAATTAAGACGATGGAAAAAAGTCTACAAAAAAACAAATTTACACTTTATAACGCATTATCGGTAGAAATACTTAAATTTATATTAAAATTTGATACTTAAGAAGTTTAGATGACTGTCTTGTGGATTGTAGCGTCGT